GAAACGGATACTTTCGGTGGCATTGTTGGATCCTTGTGGGTAAAGGAGACACGAAAGAATTAACCGAATATGAAACAAACCGATCGTGGAGGAGTGCCAGTTTCTTCGAGAAGGTCGTCAAGACGTCTAGGTCATCGCTCGCTGAACCGTGGTCGCTGGGATCGTGGCTGCGACGTTCGAATAGTCGGTGTTACCAATGTAGCGGTCGGCACTCCCGCTACTTCTTCTTCGTGAAATGACTCAACGGCAACTGACTCCAATCAGAACTGAACTCTATTCCATAAAATCATCTTGACAAGTAAACTCTGGTTATGTAGGCGTACATATAATCTGGGAAACAACTAGACTACAGATGATCGGGAATATGGATGATTGCGGATACTGCATGAGTATACCGTGTGACTAATGGAAATGGTGCGCTAACAAAGAGCGCACGTTACGGAAAGTGCGCGCGCAAAGACTCGTAAACAAGGGTGGACAGAATGACCCCACATCACTCCCCCCAGATATGACATCGATGAAGGGATATCTACGCTCATGAGCCGAAATCATTGAGAATGATCAGGTATAACCCTGTCGATAGAGACCTTCTCTTGTTGGCCCTCCTTGTCGATGGTGACCGTCTTTTCGTCTCTTGTAATGACGTCGTATGGTCCTTCGAACTTGGGGCGCAGGCTGCTGATCTTCCTTTCCACTCGCAGAAAAATTCGGGAACAGGAACCGAGTTCGTTGGGCACGTGACCGTGGGCCTTCTCAGGAACCAAATGCCAAACCGGTCGGTGTGGCCGTTGCGTTTGCATTGCTTCCTGCAGACGGCGTACGAATATGTCGCTCGAAACGTCAGTGTCCGGTGTCGCACACTCTCCGGGAAAACGGAAGTTTTCGCCGAAAACCATCTGTGAAGGAGAGAGCGCCGTGTCCGTGTTGGGGGAATTTCTGACGCCAAAGAGAGCCCACGGGAGGTGGGTTAACCAATCAGTCCGTCCGTCTAATCTGGAGCGAAGAGCATTTTTGAGAGATCGATGCCATCTCTCAACCCGGCCATTATGTTGCGGATGATAGGCTAACGTCATCTTGTGTTCCACCCCCATCGATTTCATCACCCTGGCCCACAGATCGCCGGTGAATTGCGGACCTCGATCCGAGGTGATCCTTGACGGCAACCCGAACACCGAGCACCACGTTATCAGATGCTTGGCACAGGCAGTTGCGCTGGTCGCGTCGCCGGACATGCCCATGGGGAAAGCGTCTGCCCACCCGGTCCAGGCATCCATGATCGTAAAAAGGCTGTTTTTTCCTCCGCAATGTGGCTTGAAGGGTCCCACGATGTCCACGTGGAGATG